TCAATGTGTTTTATTCTATGCATCTAGATATTGACAACTTTATGACAGGATTTCTCCACGTGATAGCTTAAGGTTTAACATCATATAAGGTCTTCAAGCATTACTTAAATCTATGATCTATCCTAAGATCCTCTAACTCTGCACAGGTGGTAGAAATGGGATAGCTTCATATATATAAATAAATAAGTGTCACAGCAGGTGGCCCTGTTTGATCTATAGAAAATAAAGGTATCTAATTAATTTAGAGAACCCTGAAATTAATATTGTTGATAGAATGTGGTCAATTGACCGCAATATTATCAGTATTTCTTTGTAAACTATTTACTATTCTGTCTTTTCTTTTGTTTATCGCATTAATAAACACACCTGAATTACAGGTTAAGATCTTATGCCACTCCGTTTCTTCAAACTTAAATTAGTTTTATCTCAAATTATATTTTATATAAGTGTAGGTATTTCGTCTGTTTGATAACATACGAAATAATTCGCTTTGACGCGATAAGGCCTATTTTAAGGTGTTATTTACATGTATGCTCCAGACCATATGAATATTTTGACCAAATGCGTATATACTCATATGGTCAGGCCATGCATCTATGGTCCTGGTAATTAAGACGATAAACGCTGAAACGTTAAACTTTAAAACTGTTTATTTGAATAGGTACAACTTCAAGTTGTCATAAAAAAGAGTTTATGAAAATAAAATTTTGAGTGATTTAATAGCATATATGGTAATCCTTGTTACATGCATAATAACGAATGGCAATATGTCGAGTTGGGAAGATAACTTCAACAAAAATCCAAATGAACGGTTAAACAAGGACTGACGTATGAAAACGTCATCATGATAAAGACGTTTTTAACTTTCGTCATACGAGTAGTCGGCAGGGCGTCTGGTGATTTACCACGTTTGTTGTACAAATTAGATGACGTCGCCGGTCAAAAACCGTAATTTATTTAAGTTGACATGTGAATAAGGTGTACTACAGTCACGTTATGATATTGCTTCGTTAGACCTTCTTTAAACGCTTTAAATATATCGACATGGCTTACGACTTCAATATCAGATGACGCAGATGATATAAGTGCTAGCGTTTCATTTGCAAGCAAAACATTTTACAAAATGTGTAAATACAGAAAAGTAATGATACATTATGGGAGTAATTGTCATCAAAAGCGTAGATACTTGAATAAAATTAGGGATGATCTGACTTTGTCATCAATATGTCTCGTATATTATACAAAACTATTGTAACTGCGATTTACTACCTTTTACTCTTCGGCTAATAAGTTTTGATTCTGTCTGTTATTTTCCGCCTTTTTTCATAACTATTTATTCATTTCTTTCATAACACACCCAAGAATATCATAACCAAATCAGAAATTTGTATCAAAATTTACTATTCACTTTTTATCCACTTCTCATACGATATTATATACTTACTTTTCCTTAATATTTGTATTTGAAGAGTAAGTAAATATATCATGATCACATCTTAAGTGTACCGAACATGATAGGCACAACGAAATATATATCAAATGAAAGTTTGTCCTTTAAACAGGTGTTCAATCGCATCCGAAACAAATAATCTTCATACTTTAGCTGTGTATATTCAACTTAGGCGTTAATTACGTAATTTGAATTTACTACCATAAAGAGACATAAATTTTACAGGTAAATTACATATTTCTAACTGGCTAAATCATTATTTTATTATCGTAGTTTCCTAGGATAGAGCTATATTTGTGTAAATGGTCCTCGTTATATGACCATTACATCAGAAGAGTAAGCGTAAAATCTTATAATTTAAATAGAGAAGCAATGGTCATCCGTGACATTTTGAAAATACCTAAGATCTTAATGAATTTAAACAGGTGCTTTGTTACGCAATAGTCGTCATTGTAGGACCAGGTGTGTTTAAATTTCTTGTTTTTCATCGTAGATGATAAACTAAGCCGAATCTTTTGAACATTTTTGGAATTGTTTTGTCTTTGATTTTTTGGTATAAACCTGCAACTAGAGGGAGATTACTTTATTTTGTACGAAGCTTCTATTGTTTCGTCCCCAGATTAGTTTTTCATTAGTCGGAAGGTCACACATCTTAAAACCGATTTAATGACCGGCATTTGTTTGAGACACTCGTGCGATAAAACTAGTTGAAATTCAACATGAAGTTCAATTGCTCATCACCAGTAGTTTACCAATGTCAGTTGAAAGTTTATATCAACTGTATCTAAAGACGTTATCAACATTGTTATTTTGAAATTGGTATAGGTATTTTCTTAATTATTTGTTTTTACTTATTTGTTTTAATTTTATGTTTTTAAAGGCAAGCCTAGATACTTTTAAGACTGAACACGTTTGGTTTTCTAAAATTGATGACGCCATAAAGCATTTACGTCACGATCCTCATGTTAAACGCATCACCTTTAAAGATGATTGCCATTTCCTGTCTGGGTCGAATAAAACAATGCCGATTTTTTTTTTACAAATGCCCTCCACCTTTTCCTGGTATCTTCATATGTTTAAAACCCATTATGATGTCATACTGGAGTCATATTGTATTTCAATGCGCGCATTACTATACATATCCTATTAAAGCAAGTATAACCTCACGTTAGAAATTATTCAATATTCAAGCAACAAAATCTTTTATCATAATGCTTGCAGTATTTCAAACCATCATTTTAATGTAATTTATCTGAATTCGTTCAACAATTTTGATTGGAATATCGAACATTTATATACACTTTATTATTCTGTTTTCTAATTCAAAGGAAGTTTTGCTTGTAATTAAAAATAGTTCATTGTCAACGTAATAGCTTGCGTTGCAAATTTCCTATATTCAAATATGAAGAAAAACATTCTTACGTTATGAAATTACAAATTCATTTTAGGATTTAACAACTCGAATCACTCTTTGAACTCCACATTAACGCATATTAATAGTAGCGTAGATGTTTTAAATAGCCTCTTTCGATCTATAAATATAAACCAATTATCTTTTCCACTTATCATTGTTTTATGGAATTTCCTGTTATTAAATCAATAAAGGTAATGAGACTAGGTTATCTTGATATTTGATATCATTGATAAACACCACTGGAAAATAGTTGGCACTAATAAGAAAAGAAGAGAAAAATATAATCAGAACAAAATAAAAACAACGAAGTTGGAATGAGGGTGCTTTGAGACTTCGGATCTTCTTTTCCTACAAAAAAATCAAAGTCAAAACAAAATATGAAGATACCAACAGGAAGTCGAAAATATGATTAAGGACAGACTGCATCAAATCAAAACGAAAATAAATGAATTCGGTATGTTTGTTTTCGATTATAATAATTTGCCTTACGTTTTTGGTCTTTTGAAAGAAATGAATTTATCTGATTAAGTTTCGTATCTGCCGGGAAAAAATAGCAAACAAAATTTGGTACAACACTTCTTTGGCGGTCTTCATCAACTTGCCTTTCTGAAATCTCCTAGAATCGATCCTTTTTTCGGCAGAACCTATTTGTGTTTAACTATTTTTCTTTTGAAGTTTACTCATTTAAGCATGCACCTAGCTTGTTCCCAATTAAAAGATATGGTATTGGAATATTCTTTAAGATTTACTTGAATACTGATAATATGTTATACATAATACACTTTCAAAATTTACATTGTGAGCAATATAGGTAAAGTTGCAGTGTGTGATACCTTGATACCTCATTTAATCTTATTGCTTTAACATAAATCTTTTCCAAAATTTATCTAGTGTGCCTAAATTTATAGTGATGATCAGATAATGAACCAAAAGGTACACTCATACGGTTATGTCCGCTTAATCTTGACACTTTATTCTGGAAAACGTCATACTTTTTATTATGTTCCTAAAAATATATTTTCCGGGGATAAGAATGTTTTTCATCCCTTCTACAATTTGTCCTACTAAACTAAGAAGTACGGCCTGACGAGTTTTCCATCTATAAATTCATCTTTAATGTACCTGCTGAATTCTTTAATTCTCACATGTGAATGAAGTTGGTTTCATTCAATACAGTAAATTAAATTTCAAGTAATTATTTGTTTTCACTTATAAGTTCAGATGGTTTAGTTGTGAAATAAATTATATACAAACGATCGTTTCTTTTTCAGATTATTTCGACGTACTTTAATTTATCAATGTCGTAAAATAAACATGTGTGGTTTGAAATCAATTTCATGTTCACGGACATTGAAATTGCACATTGCAAAAGCCATTTCTTTTTCAAGCAAGCCAAGATATACGACCTGTGCTTTCTATTTTATTATTAATCTGTATGTGAATAAATCAAATCTGAAAATAATAGATTTAATCTTATAAAATGCTTCCCATCTTCTAAAATAAATCACTGCCAAACGATCAGTGAGGGATAGATGTAGGGGGTTAGGTATATTTCATGGAGGTAGATGTTTATTTCATTTTGTTGAACCCTACAATTAGGTACAGTACATCAGTTGATTAATTGTTTTAAGACATCAAATGATCTATCAGTACCAGCAAATGCGTATAATACTAACATTAACTTGTAATAATTGAACGGTAAATGGACATTAACTATTCACAAATCAGATAACATTTGGGTGATGCAGTGCAAAACTTATATAAAATTTTAACATTTTATTTTGAAGAAAAGTAATATTGAAAAAAAAAAAATCAAATTTATCTTAAAATAAAGAGAATGGTCTTAAAAACAATTAATTGTCAATGAATAATTGATATGATCGGTGATTTCAACTCAAATTCGTAGTACTTACGAAGAAAATGTTGTGGGGTTGCTAACAAATCTTGGTTTTGAAAATGATAAATGAAAATCCTTAATTCAAGATATATGCATCAAATGTAATTCCATATTGCTATAACTACTTTTATCAGCAAAATTTGGATCATGCTTCATTCATGTTGGTGGGCAACTCGATACTTTTTTCTGATGGAATGAACAAACAATAAATACTAATATACAAATAAACTCCAACTCACCACAGTCTGAAAATTTGAAGGATTTGTTGTCTCTTTTTCTCCTGCCTAGTATAGTTGTACACCCAGTCAATAAAAGAATCAAAACTGGAAATAGAGTTAACTTGTTGTGATTAAAATTAACCATTATTTCATCAAAGCATCAATAAATAAAATGTTGTGTCCAATGTCTTAACTTATGTCATACAAATAATGATATTGCATCCAACTTTTGTCTGTAGAATATATTTTTGTTAATTAATTCAAAAATTAATTAAAATTTTCGTCATTGAACACCTTTTAAATATATCCAGTAAATTCCTCTGCAATTCCATTATTATTGAATTATGCATATGACAAGCGTTGATATCTAAGTGTCAGAATTCGTAGAACATATTACAGTCGCATGTTCATTCGTACAAATATTTACAGTGATCGGCAGATCACATAAAACTGTTAAGACCTCACACATCGAAAGCAGATCGGACGTCCCGGGGAACACCCCCACTTTACTTTACCTAAAGTTAAATGTTCTGGGCAGCGGCTAAGTTGGAAGGTTGGATCACTTCACTCCATATTTACAAGATAAAAGTTAACCTTTTACAGAAGCTACTGAACCGCATAATTATCTTGTATAATATACATTCAGTGTTTAATATTGTTCGCTTGTAGCTTTGATTTACTAAACCGATATTTTTAAAAGTTTATCCTATTTGTCGATATTCATTATGTGTATCATACATGCCAACACTGATTTTAAACAATCCAGTAGCAAATTTGCTAAAATCTATGGAGGTTTATATTAAAAATGTAAAAGTGGCGGTCAGTCATAGGCGTTTTATTAGATACTACTGGATTTACCACACACGTCGTTCGTTAAACTTGGCAAGTATACGAGATCAGGATAGGAAAGTTAAATGTTTTGAACCGTTACACTTTTTGCAATGAAATATGCAATGAAAATTATTTATTTCATCAATTTTTTATTCAAACAATATTAAAGTATTGAAATGATATTGGTTTTTATTTATTAAAATATTTCTTCAGTTTGGTATAAAAATATCTATTGATTTGATAGGAAGATTAGAACATGGAAATAAACATGTAATTAATTGTTAACCTGATACGTACATTATTTATGTTTACACTTAAGTGACATACAGGTGTTTATAGAGAGACATTTCAATAAAGACAGTACTCTACTGGTTGTGTGCCACCTTTCTATCAAATAGGTATGGCAGGTCTACTTGAAGTGTCAACTACGATACCTCCTCTTGCCAATAATACATTACTGGCTGTGTCAGATTGTTCAATTGATCTTCTATAACGAGAAAGTATAACTTATAGATAATGTTTCAAACGAATTTTGATACGCTGTTTTCTTTTTATTAAATTCCCAAATGTAATTAATTTCAGGTATGAGATGTAATTAGTCATTTATCCAGTATATATTAATAACGATTGTAAAACGATATATTTCATTTACGATTATAACTCGTTTACATAGAGTTTTAAAATAAGTAGATATCTTATGTGTACATTGTATTTACGATTATTCTATCAGGTACATTGTATTTACAATTATAATATCAGATAGGCTAAAGTTATTCCCATCTAAATGTATTCCTTTCTTGTTGAAACATATGATATTCTCAAATATAATTATATTACGCTAGTTCATCTTAGCTTATTCTTATCTCTTTTATTGATTTCATAATTGAAATAAAACACATACAGTAAGTTGTTTGTCATATTTTGTTATATATTTCTTAATTTCTTTGGCAAAATACATGTTTAACTTTTTTCAATCTGAATACAGTATTCTGTTATTTTAAGATGTGTTATGAAACGAATTTAAGTTTTTCTTTGTTGGATTTTTTATCAATCTTAATTTCGTTGAACTATGTGTATTTAAGTAAAGATCAAACTAGTTATCGTTTAAGAATAAAGTTGGCATTTATGGGTCAGACGTGATCATGTTGTAAGGCTAGGATATAATTGTCTTCAATTAAATTTGGGGAGAATGTTTTTATTTTGACTCTTAGAATATTAATCTTTGTTACTTTAATTTGCCAAGGATTATCTTCATTGTCAAATCTTATTACAATTTCAGCATTACATGTTGCACATTAATTTTCCCGCGTTTATTATTTTGAGGAAACCTGAAGATTTTGTCTAAAGTAATAAAGGTAATACCTACGAATTTTTTCGGTGCACGTGTTTAAATAATAATAATAATAATAATGACGGGTATTTCGTAGCTAAAAATATAGAAAAAATGAAACATCTGTTGAAATAAATTTCATTAAAATAGTTTAGATATCAAGATTCATGCACGAAGGAATGCAAAAAAAAAAACGTACTTGAATAATTTTATAGTTATTATATAAAATGAACGAATGCAGGACTGCCTATTTGTTACATTCTGTAGTTATTAGTTTAGCTAAATAATATTTCTCTTTTTATTTTTGTATGTATCATTCCCTGAATGCAGTTTCCAAATTTTAAGTCGTGAATAGAATCTTTGACAAAAGCGGCGAGTTCATTTTTCTCGTTGTCAACTTCCATTGCATATTGCATATTGCAATAAATGCATTGTGCTCGTGCATGTTGACATTTATTTCGGCGTTATAAATATGGGTATGCTGCTCTTAATGCTAAAACGTCTTTAGCAGGGACATGAGAAAGAACGACTTAAAACGACACTTCACAAGTTTTATTGTCACCAGCACTAATTACTTGACTTATGCGATGTTTTTATGCCCCACCTATGGGCATTATGTTTTTCGGTCTGTGCGTCCGTTCGTTCGACAGTTCGTCCGTCCGTCCGTCCGTCTGATCCGCTTCAGGTTAATGTTTTTGGTCAAGGTAGTTTTTGATGAAGTTGAAGTCCAATCAACTTGAAACGTAGTACACATGTTCCCTATGATAATATCTTTCTAATTTTAATGCCAAATTAGAATATATACTCCAATTTCACGGTCCACTAAACATAGAAAATGATACTGCGAGTGGGACATCCGTGTACTATGGACACATTCTTGTTCGACTCAAAGGAGATACCAGAATAGACGTTTGTTATAACAACTTACGGCTTGTGTCGTATTTCCTATCGTGACATATTGACTGAGTCTTGTTTTGCATAGCGAGCAGGAGACGCACCCAGACAGGCTCCTTTTTTAGGTTTTCATGCGATTCCTCAGTTATGTTTACTTCAGTTGGTTTGTATATTTAAAATGGATAAACAAAAAGTGAACATTGATAAATACTGTTGTCTGTTATCCGTATATGATTTTTATGTATAAAAAGTAAACGTTTGAATGGAATTTTAATACAAATGAAATTTATAAATAGTTATCAAAGGTACCAGGATTATAATATGATACGCCAGACGTGTATATAAAGTCTATATAAGTCATCAAAGATACCAATCCTAAATTGGTACGTTAACATAATACTCATCAGCGGCGCTCATAACGCGCATTCATATACAATATATGAAAAATAATGTGCACAATTGTATAAAAAGTTAAAAAGACAAAAGAATAAAAAATAAAAATATGACAACTAAGTGAACTAAACATGCAGCCAGTTATGTGTTCCTATCTGGTTTGAATGATAGGACAACTGCCCAAAGGTAAATGACAATTTAATCAGAAAGGGAAGATAACAAGGAGGTTATAAAAAAACATAAGTCGAAGAAAAACAGAAAATATTGAAAGAAATTATGAACACGACAAAAAAAAACCAAACAATAGTTCACAAAACTATCTTTATCTTTAAGAAAACTGATATAAGGTTTAAGTACTTTCATTCTCAGACCTTTATTTCGATATTTCGATATGGATATAATTCTTACTTAGACCGTTTTTATCCACTTTCATCGACACAAAGGTAAATATGCTGTGTATTTTTGGCAAAAGGATGAGAGAGAACATACTAAGGTGGTAATCAGGAATCTGAAGTCAAGTTAAAACAGACAACACCATTGTAAAACATATAAAAAGACGAAAAGACAAACAACAATATTGAAAAAATGCTCAGATAACTATGTGCTCTGGAAGGAAAAGATATGTCTTCTTCGTTAGTTGTGCATACCGTGTTACTCTTAGCAAATAAATCATTGTGATAATTGCATTATGTAGTTCCACGGTAGAAGAAAAAGGAACGGTATCGTGGTTAAGACACCAGAGGAACATGTATTTGGTCATCTGTTACACAGATTTTTCATAACGGTAGAGCATATCATGATGGCATCTGCCAAACTACCATTTTGAACCCTTGATGCAAGTAGAAATCGTAGAAAAAATTCAATGACGTCAGGCACAAAAGAAAATCTCAACTATGACAAGCATCACAAACCTGCTGCTTCAAGTCTGCTTGTTTGTTGTCGAAAAAACGAATGACGCGTATGCAAGCAACTTTATGTCACCGTGCGACATTAAACATTCAATATATATATATATATATACCAAATAGCAAGCCATAAAAGTCCCTGGCATGAAAAATGTGTAATAATTAAAACGAGAAAAACCAACGGCCTGGTGTAGGCTCAAACAAAAAACTTAAAACAGATATGATACGATAACTGTCATGGAATTTTTACTAGAAAACATTTTTATTCGCTATGGAGATTCCGTATATCGTCAAGTTATCGGAATTCCAATGGGGACTTACTTTGCACCACTTATTGCGGACCTGTTTCTGTATTGTTATGAGTAACAATTTATGACTAAAATTAGCAAAGACCCATCGAAACAATATCTGATACAAAAATTTTATAACACTTTTAGATATTTGGTTGATATATTGGCTCTCAATAATGACGACTTCAGTATGTACACTAAAGAGATTTTTCCTGCTGAACTGACTTTAAATAAAGCTAATACTAACAATGAACACTGCCCTTTCCAATATCTTGATATCTATATCTTTAACGGGAAGCTTGATACCAACATTTATGATAAAAGAGATGATTTTTCATTTTCTATTGTTAATTATCAATTTTTAGCTGGTGACGTTCCCTTGTCACCATCTTATGGTGTTTATATATCTCAACTTGTTCGATTCGCTCGTGTATGTAACGACGTTTTGATTTTAACGAAAGAAACCTCTGTATTACTGAAAAATTATTACACCAGGGTTTTCGGTATCACAAACTAGTCAAAACATTTACTAAATTTTATCATCGGTACAAGGACATCATCGTAAATATAAATCAATATGCAGACATCTTATACGTTCAGGTACTTCACATCCAATCTTTTATGGTATATTCTATACAAAGCACAAAAATGTCGACATTCACCTCAAAAGTTAACCAAACCTTTGAACAGACTTATTCAGAAGGGATATAGTTACGATATTGTTGTCAGGTCATTAAAGATGGCATATTTTGGTATTAATATTGATTCTCTCATAGGGTCTTTGCATCGGAAATAAACACATTTATTCTAAAACCAGTTGTTGGCATGATACGGGTTATGTTCTTCTCATATATTTTTTGGCGGTATGATACTAAACCCATAACGGGAGTGATTGTGCTTGATTTTCATATGACGAAGACAT